CTGAAATTTGCTAGCAAGAAGAGATGATGAACACAGATGGACCCAAAGTGGTGGAACAAATTTACGTAGTCAATCTATCATGTGTAAAATACATACAAAGATGAATTATTCCTTTCTACAATAATCTGAACTGTAAGTGGCTTCTAGAACTAGATTCTCAACTCAGCTATATCAAATATTAAATTAGTAAAGGAGCCTTTAAAACACCCAGATATTGCCGGGCGCGGTGGCTCAAGCCTGTAATCCCAGCACTTTGGGAGGCCAAGGCGGGTGGATCACGAGGTGATCGAGACCATCCTGGTCAACATGGTGAAACCCCGTCTCTACTAAAAATACAAAAAATTAGCTGGGCATGGTGGCGCGTGCCTGTAATCCCAACTACTCAGGAGGCTGAGGCAGGAGAATTGCCTGAACCCAGGAGACGGAGGTTGCGGTGAGCAGAGATCGCGCCATTGCACTCCAGCCTGGGTAACAAGAGCAAAACTCCGTCTCAAAAAAAAAAACACTCAGATATTTTAAGTCTCATATAGATGAGCACTGTTTACTTGATTTATATTTAAAAATCCAATGAATGGGCTGGGCACAGTAGCTCCTGCCTGTAATTCCAGCACTATGGTAGGCCCAGGAGGATGGATAACCTGAGGTCTGAAGTTGCAGACAAGCCTAGACAACATGATGAAACCCCATCTCTACTAAAAACGCAAAAAATTAGCCAGGCGTGGTGGCAGACACCTGTAATACTAATATTAGCTACTCGGGAGGTTGAGGCAGGAGAATCACTTGAACCCAGAAGGTGGAAGTTGCAGTGAGCCGATATTGGGCCACTGAGACCCACAGCCTGGGCGACAGAGCGAGACTCCACCTCAAAAAATAAAAAATCCAATAAATGAAAAGACTCTGACAAAACTGAAATGATTTCTAACCTAGAAGATTCATTATTAGAAAATACTGATTATCCAGCCTGCAGGATGTTTGCCTTTTACACAGAACTCTCACTGCTGACAGCCAGGTATAATGAAAAAAAAAGCCAGGTTTTGGGACCCGCAAGACAAGGGTTTGAACACTAGTGCACCACATCTTGGACACTTCCTTTTTTTTTTTTTTTTTTAATAAAGACGGGGTTTCACCATGTTGGTCAGGCTGGTCTTGAACTCCCGACCTCAGATGATCCGCCCACCTTGGCCTCCAAAGTGCTTGGATTATAGGCGTGAGCCACCGCGCCTGGCCGACACTTTCTAAATCTATTTTTCACCTCTAAAATGGGAACACTGATTACCTACCTTGAAGGATTGCCACAAAGATTAGTGAAAATACATGTAAAGAACCTGACACCTAATAGGCACTGAATAAAGAAGTATCAGCTGCTTAGATTATTCTCATAAGCACATCCATGAAAGATGACAGAATAAAGGACATGGTAAGAAGATAAATCAGAGCCTAGGCTACATTTTTTTTGAGACAGAGTCTCACTCCTATTGCCCAGGCTGAGTGCAGTGACACACACTCACTGCAGCCTTGATTTCCCAGGCTCACGTGATTCTCCCAGCTAGCCTCCCAAGTATCTGGGACTACAGGCACATACCATCATGCCCAGCTAATTTTTCATATGTTTTTTTTAAAATAGAGGCAGGGTTTCACCATGTTGCCCAGGCTGGTCTCAAATTCCTGGGCTCAAGCAATCCGCCCACCTCAGCCTCCCAAACTGCTGGGATTACAGCTGTGAGCCACCACACCTGGCCTGAGGCTACATTTAACTACTAAAACAAAGCAAACAAAAAGCATCCTGATAATTTAAGCGAAACTTGGGGCTAAATTTTTTTGTTCACATTTCATATACATAATACTATAGTTCCTCCTTATAAATACATAAAATCCAAAATTACCTACAGGTCTACTTATTTTGGAGCTAAGTAAAAATGAAAGACTATTATCAGACAGTAAAGCAGATAATTTTATGAACAGGTGAGATAGAAAATATGCCAAAAGTAAGATACAAAAATGCATATGAAAGGATAGTAAAAGATTCCTACCTTTAAACCGACTGTTATAAGATCTGTAACAACACTGTATGGAAAAAGTAAAAAGAGAAAATGGAAAACAAAGTTAGAGAACAAGTTTTTAAAAGACAGATAGTAAAAATAAAGGGGGGAAAAGCATTATAACAGATAATAAAAATAAGAATGTGATGAGTTGTGAAATATTAATACAAAGAAAAATGATGAGAGACAGTTCAGCAACAGCAGAGTGTAAAAGCAAAGCCTTACTACCAATACAAGAAACAAACCCTAAGTTATCTTTTAGTATTTTGGAAGTACAGTCATACTTCAACAAAAATGAGTGTTTATCCATTTACCTCTGTTTAATAAAGCCAAACCAAAACTTAAAATCACCAAAGTTTGTTCTTTTAAGTCACTGGTATGAGTAATCGTGTCTGAGGTTTTAAATGAAACAAAACCAGTGCTTGGATTTTACAGAAATAGAAGGCATCTTGCAAATCTGCATTTACCACCCAAAACTGCTCACTAAAATACAATAAAGACAGTCTCTCGGAACTAAAATAAATACAAACATTACGTTTCAAACATCAAATTTTTCAAAGATTTACTTTTTAAAAATATTCTATCACGTCAAAATTGTGTTTAAGTATAAATTATCTCTTAGGAGGAAATGAACACATACACACACACGAGACAGTTGGGATTTGAGGAGGAACTAGAAAGATAGGTTGACTGGTGGCTTGTGGTTTGTTTTTTGACTATCCAAATAAGGAAAAAGGATCTTTTTCAGGCTGTTGGAAATGCAGAAATTTAATTAGCCTCCTGAAGGCAAAAATGCACTCTATTCTTAAACCACATCCCTTAGGACCAGGGTGTAAAAAATCCGCTTTAAAGTCCTGCCATCCAAAAACTCATCTCTTCTAAGCCCCAAGAAACTGTCTTCGATTAATGTTTTTCTTCATATCTCCTAAAAGAAAGCTACAAATACATTTTACGTATCGTTAATAACCTATGTCATCATTACCTCATAAAAGTCAACAAATAAATGACTCTAGATGATCTAAATGTTTTACAAACACGACGTAGATTTTTTATTTTTCCTTCTAAACTTCTGTAACTTGAAATTCATTTGTCTAAAATTTAAATGTGACAAGTAATTAGATGCTTGCTGCATAAAAAATAAGACTGCGTAACACTATCGTTATTGGTTCTGATGCAAAGAGCAAATAATGCTCCTTCTTGAACTTCCAAATGAACTTACCTTCCAGTATCTGTCTAATTGTCTTACATGTTCAAACCAATAAACTCATTACTACCTTTAAAACCACAAATAGGGTGAAGGGAGAGTTAACTTCTTAAACACTATCAAAAAGTTTAAGTTTGCACTTCACAGTTATCCTAGAGTTTAACAGCAAAGACGCAAAATTCAAGGGTCCTCTTTATTATAACTATAAATTTTACGACACAAAAAGTCTGCTTTCATATTTAAGTCAAATCTTCCAGACAATTAACTACACATAACGAAATACTAATATCATAGTTTACCTGAACAGAAATATTACCATAATGACACAAATCTTTAAGATCACAAAATTTTACAACATATAAAATGTAACTGAATAAGGTAAAGTTAAATTAGTCAACAATGCTCTGGGAGAAACTTAAACAATAAAAACAGCTTCACTTCCCCCAAAAATATATACACCTACTATATACCCAAAAGAGTAATGATTTTAAGAATTTTTAAAAATATTCCATTAAATAAAAAAAACCACAATCATGAATAAATTCTAAAACTCTATAGCAGTGTGCAATCGGCATTCAAATAGAAATACTATATCCACTTAATGTTGTGCAACTAAAATAAATGAAATCGAATGAGGTCAAACCCTGCTGGAAAATTTCATCTTCTCCAAATATCAAGACAATTATCAACCATATGGCAACATGTAAACGACTTTTACTGTTCTAACAAGTTGCATATAGTCCACAACCTTACAGAAATCTTGTCATCAAAACCAGGTAACAAGCCAAACAAAACCTCAAATACATAAAGGAAATAAACTGAGTTGGAGATTTTTTTTAATCCGTAGGCACACTACAACCTTCAATTAATTTACCAGGATCCTAACATAGTTATTACTTTAATTACTAAAATATGTCAAGTGCTACCCCATATCCCTGAGTCTCCAGAGAATAATTTATATACATAGATAAAAAATCTTTTTATTTTTGGTCAGGGACCCCCACTGAATTTTTGAGCATTTGAAAGCTCCCCGAAAATTGCTCGTACACCATATTTTACATACACGGGCAGAGAATCCATTAAGTTTCTTGGCGAGAGAGAGTGGTGAGGGGTAAGCGTCCATGGTCACTAAGTCCAGAACCCTGGTGTCGAGAAAGCGTTAACGTATCTCCCGGCACAAGCCGGGAGACCTCGGCCAAGTCCGCCGGCGGCCCCGGGACCCCGCGTGGAACCGTGGCTCAGAACCAGGTCGCCGCCCAGACTTGCCTCGACGCGTGCACCCGCCGTCGGCCACTCCGCCGCTCGCCCCACCTCGCCGGTAAACAGCAACTCCCCCGGCGAGAGGACGCCCGCCCCGCGCGCCGCCTCCGCCTCCCCCAGCGCCGTGCACCATTTTCTGAGAGGAAGTGTTGGGAGGCCGAGTTGGGCTCCTCGGACTCGGGGCGCGGAGGGCGGACCCCGGCACGGCAGCCGGACCGGGCTTTCCTCCGCTCCCTGGTGTGTCGAGTAAGGCTGGGAAGAGGCGGACGCGTCCGGGACGCCGCGTGGGGAAAGGAGAGGCTGCGGCGGACGGCGCCTCCGCGATTCCGGGATCCCCACCGAGACGCCCGGAAGCCCCGCCGTCGGGCTTGGCCGGGGCAGCTCCTCCGGCCGCCAGCGCTGCGCCCGGCTCCCCAGCCCCAGCGCGTCCCGCCGAGAGCCGGGTGGAAGCGGCGCCAGCGCAACCCGGTGCGGCCGCCGCGTCGCCTAGTACTTACCCATCCATGGCCCAGATGGAGGCGCGCACAGAGCAGGGACTGACGGGCTCACCGCGAGCGGAGGAAGCAGGCAGCAGCAGCAGGGCGGTTCCGGGTACTAGCAAGCGTCGCCTCTGCGGAGCCCCGGCCGGTCGGAGGTGGAAGGAGAGTGGGAAACAGGGGCGGGGACCGGGCACGCTCCCGCCACCGCCGCACCCCCGCCTTCCCCACCCCGCGGGCGCGTCCCCGCCTGGCCCGACCCCGCCCCCTCAGCGTCCCCGCCCTCCCTCGGGGCCCGCCCCTGCGCTCGCGCCCACCCTCGTCCCGCTTGCTGCCGGCCTCCGGTTCGGCTCTGGGGCGCCCTCTTCACGCCGTCGCTGTAAGTCCCCGCCTCTCGGCCCCTCATCCCAGCGCGCGCGCGCGCGCGCGCCCCGAGACTCCCGTCTGCGTTCGCGGGAGCGCGCGCCTTGTGCTTCCCGCTCCGCCGCGCGCCCCGCCCGCCGTCCCGCGGCCCCGCGGGCCTTCCGGCTTCGCGGACTGGGGCTGCGGATTGAACGTCTCCCTCTGCCGGCGGGAAAAGCCTTGGGGATCTGACTCCCGATAGTAGGCAAGAATGTCCCGCGAGGACCCCAGAATCGAGGTAGAATTGCCCCCGGTGCGCAAGGCTGTAGGTGGCACGTCCGGGGCCAGCCGCTGGCTGCCCCGCGCTGGAGTCGACCGCTGGGACCGGCACCAGCCCCATAGGTGTGGCTGGGACGATGAATGAGGTGAAAGAGGCTTCCCGGACTCGAGAACCTTTGTATTTGTATACAGTTTAAGTATCTGAGTGCATTTCGACCTGACCGTCTAGTATTGAATTTATATGAAACATTTCATTGCACAGGCATGGAATGGCTATTATTTGCAGCATTTTATAAAAGTTTACTCATTATTCTCTTTTTTTCAGATGGAAATATAGACACAAAGAGAGTGATTGCTCACAGTTTCCCAACCAGGAAACGTTTGCGCCAGAGCGATTTGCTCTGGTCTGAGCAAAAAGTGTATGTATAATAATGTAACGAATGACAGACAACACGCTTGGTTTTTTCCCTTTTTAGTGTGAAATTGAATGATTTTTCAATTCACAGATCACCGAAACATAACCTACTAAACTGTTAAGCCGAATTCTTAACCTCCTGAGTAAAAGAGAGCGAGGCTCCACCCTGTGGCTTCCTCATTTGAAAAGCAACTTAGAACCTTAAACATCTATCCTTGCTAATTTCCTGCTTTCAGATCAGTAGGTGCTACTAAAAAGATCTAAACTGTGGACTCATTCATTATTCAGTCAGTACTTATTGAGAAGTTACTATGCGCCGGGCACTGCATGGACATACAAGAAAATCAGGTTCCAGCCTTTACTTTTGAATGGATTCCTTGGTCAGTTTATGTATATTTTTGGCATTAAACTATTTTCAAATAGGTAGAGTAATTCAGTGAGGTCATTCTTAAAGTGCTATATCTAACCCCCCTCTTCCAAAATGTCAAATATATTTTGTTTTGTGTGTTAAGTCTAAATATTAAGTTGCATTTGTAAACATTGCCAGATGGAAATGGAGAACATCAACAAGGTAAGCAGCTAATGCAGTCTTTCTATCGCTTTATTTGGGATATATTCTGTTGATGAAATTTCCTTAACTCCTTTTTTAGCCGTAAAAGTAGTTATCAGCATAAATGCTCATTTTGGAAAATTCAAACAACATAAATAATTATTAATATTTTTCTTCCCAAACCACCCACTTCCCATGACTACCACTGTAAGAATTTTGGACGCATCCTTCTAGACCTTTACCATTTTTCTTTTTTTTTTTTTTCACCTAAAATTCCTGGATCATGGCAGGGTGCAGTGGCTCACACCTGTAATCCCAGTACTTTGGGAGGCCAGGGTAGGCGGATCACTTGAGGTCGGGAGCTCGAGGCCAGCCTGGCTAACTTGGTGAAACCCCATGTCTACTAAAAATACAAAAATTAGTCTGGCTTGGCAGTGCACGCCTGTAATCCCAGCTGCTCTGGAGGTTGAAACACAAGAATCTCTTGAACACAGTAGGCAGAAGTTGCAGTGAGCCAACATTGTGCCACTGCACTCCAGCCTGTGTGACAAATTGAGACTCTGTCTCAAAAAAAAAAAAAAGAAAAGAAAAACTGGATATTTTTTTCATTACCACACATTCTGCCTAATTTTTTTTTTTTTCTTTTTTTTTCTTTTTTTTGAGATGGAGTTTCGCTCTTGTTACCTAGGCTGGAGTGCAATGACGCGATCTTGGTTTACCGCAACCTCCGCCTCCTGGGTTCAGGCAATTCTGCCTCAGCCTCCTGAGTAGCTGGGATTACAGGCACGCGCCACCATGCCCAGCTAATTTTTTGTATTTTTAGTAGAGACGGGGTTTCACCATGTTGACCAGGATGGTCTCGATCTCTTGACCTCGTGATCCACCCTCCTTGGCCTCCCAAAATGCTGGTATTACAGGCGTGAGCCACTGCACCCGGCCCTCTGCCTAACTTTTTTAACTACAGTGTAGTTTTTTTTTTTTTTTTTTCTTGAAACTCTCACTTTATCGCCCAGGCTGGAGTACAGTGGTGCACTGCAAATTCCACCTCCTGGATTCTAACAATTCTCATTCCTCAGCTTCCCAAGTAGCTGGGATTACAGGCGCCCACCACCCCACCTGGCTAATTTTGTATTTTTAGTAGAGATGTGCTTTCACCATGTTGGCAAGGATTGGTCTTGAACTCCTAACCTCAAGTGATCCACCTGCCTCTGCCTCCCAAAGTACTAGGATTACAGGTGTGAACCACTATGCCCAACCTCACAATTTAATTTCATAATTTATTTAACCTTTTTCAAAACAGTGGAAATAACACTGTTTCCAAGTATTCACCATAACTAATGCTATTTCAGAAAATATCATGAATGTATGAATATCTTTGTGCAAGTATTACTACATGAGGAATAGATCCCTAGAAGTAGGATTAAGAAACAAAGGAGGGGGCCGGGCGCGGTGGCTCAAGCCTGTAATCCCAGCACTTTGGGAGGCCGAGGCGGGTTGATCACGAGGTCGAGAGATTGAGACCATCCTGGTCAACATGGTGAAACCCCGTCTCTACTAAAAATAAAAAAAACTAGCTGGGCATGGTGGCGCGTGCCTGTAATCCCAGCTACTCAGGAGGCTGAGGCAGGAGAATTGCCTGAGCCCAGGAGGCGGAGGTTGCGGTGTGCCGAGATCGCGCCATTGCACTCCAGCCTGGGTAACAAGAGTGAAACTCCGTCTCAAAAAAACAAAAAAAAAGAAACAAAGGAGGCCAGGCGCAGTGGCTCACGCCTGTAATCCCAGCACTTTGGGAGGCTAAGGTGGGCAGATCACCTGAGATCCGGAGTTCAAGACCAGTCTGGCCAACATGGAGAAACCCCGTCTCTAAAAAAACATAAAAGCCGCCGGGCGCGGTGGTTCAAGCCTGTAATCTCAGCACTTTGGGAGGCCGAGGTGGGTGGATCACGAGGTCAAGAGATCGAGACCATCCTGGTCAACATGGTGAAACCCCGTCTCTACTAAAAATACAAAAAATTAGCTAGGCATGGTGGCGCGTGCCTGTAATCCCAGCTACTCAGGAGGCTGAGACAGGAGAATTGCCTGAACCCAGGAGGCGGAGGTTGTGGTGAGCCGAGATCGCGCCATTGCACTCCAGCCTGGGTAACAAGAGTCAAACTCCATCTAAAAAAAAAACAAAAAAAAAAAACATAAAAGTAAAAAAATAAATAAATAAACAAAGGAATATAAACTTTTATATCCTTTGTATCATTCAACAGTCCTTCATATAAAGCCTTTATAGCCTTTATAATTCTAATTTGATAAATTTTTGGAAAGTGATTCCAAAAAGCCTATACCAATTTACAGAGCTTCCTTATTTAAAAAAACAAATGTCCAGGCATGGTGGCTCACACCTGTAATCCCAGCACTTTGGAAGGTCAAAGCTGGAGGATTACTTGAGCTCAGGCGTGTGAGACCAGCCTCAGCAACATGGTGAAATCCTGTCCCTTTTTTTTTATAAAAATAAATTTTTAAAGTCATATCTCTCTTACTCTATGCTATAGCTAACAAATTTCAATATTAAAAAATAGCAGAGCCGGGCACGGTGGCTCAAGCCTGTAATCCCAGCACTTTGGGAGGCTGAGGCGGGTGGATCACGAGGTCGAGAGATCGAGACCATCCTGGTCAACATGGTGAAACCCCATCTCTACTAAAAATACAAAACATTAGCTGGGCATGGTGCGTGCCTGTAATCCCAGCTACTCAGGAGGCTGAGGCAGGAGAATTGCTTGAACCCAGGAGGCGGAGGTTGCGGTGAGCCGAGATCGTGCCATTGCACTCCAGCCTGGGTAACAAGAGTGAAACTCCGTCTCAAAAAAAAAAAGGCAGCAGCAACTGCTATGCTATGTGCTAACAGACTTGAAAGATTTTAGGCCGGGCGCGGTGGCTCAAGCCTGTAATCCCAGCACTTTGGGAGATCGAGGCGGGTGGATCACGAGGTCAAGAGATCGAGCCCATCCTGGTCAACATAGTGAAACCCCGTCTCTACTAAAAATACAAAAAATTAGCTGGGCATGGTGGTGCGTGCCTGTAATCCCAGCTACTCATTCCTGAGGCAGGAGAATTGCCTGAACCCAGGAGGCGGAGGTTGCGGTGAGCCGAGATCGCGCCATTGCACTCCAGCCTGGGTAACAAGAGCGAAACTCCGTCTCAAAAATAAATAAATAAATAAAATAACACAGCAGCCGGGCGCGGTGGCTCAAGCCTGTAATCCCAGCACTTTGGGAGGCCGAGGCGGGTGGATCACGAGGTCGAGAGATCGAGACCATCCTGGTCAACATGCTGAAACCCCATCTCTACTAAAAATACAAAAAACTAGCTGGGCTTGGTGGCGCGTGCCTGTAATCCCAGCTACTCAGGAGGCTGAGGTAGGAGAATTGCCTGAGCCCAGGAGGCGGAGGTTGCGGTGAGCCGAGATCGCGCCATTGCACTCCAGCCTGGGTAACAAGAGCAAAACTCCGACTCAAAAAAATAATAATAATAAAATAAAATAACACAGCAAGACCCCATCGCTAAATAAGTAAAAATAATCATGAAGTGTGTCTGAAATTTATTGTCTATACTAACAGTAATTCTGAGACATCTGCAATGTAAA